GCAGGAATCAAGATGCAGGAATTTGGGGCTTTGTTTTAAGAACATTCCTTGGAAAGTGTCGGGGCCAGCTGCGAGACGCTCCGAAATCCCTCATCTTATCTGCAGCGGGGCCGGCCTGGGGGACCCGAAACTCGGCGTGCCCGCCTGAGACGGGGTGCTGATCGGAACACCGGGATCGGAGTCCCCTGCCCGGGGGTGCGCGTCCCCGTCGCCCCGAACCCCGTTCTGCGGGGAGGGGCACCGCGCAGCGCGAACTCGACGGGATTTTTATTTTCCCACCTTTTCGTCCTCTGCGCGCCTCTCACTGCCGGCACTCTTAACGGGCGCAATCGGGCTTTTTAAGTTTGCGGAGGAAAGGAGCGGAAAGAAGAAACGAGCTGGGAAGTGGTAGAGAGGAAGGGGAACGCAGCCCCGGCTCGGGACTGCGCAGCGGGGACTGCCGTCACCTGCGGGGGACGCCCGGACCCGGACTTACTTTCTGGGGGTCGGCGTAGGTGCCCAGCCCCAGCAGCGGGATGCTGTTCCCGTCGCTCAGCGGGACTCGGTGGCTCTCGGCCGTCAGACTCATCTTGCCGCCAGGTAGAGCCGCCCCAAGCCCGGGGCCGCCTCCGCAGCCGCCCCGCGGATCCCTCCGCACCGCACTGTACAGACGGCTGTCGTGCGAGACCCGAGGTGCGAACTGCTCTCTGCAGCCGGCGGGGAGCGTCTTTTTGGGGGGCCGAGCCACGTGTGCCCGCCGCGGCCCTGCACCGCGCCCCGTCGCGCACCGCCCCGCGCCCCGCCCCGGCTCCGCGGCCACCGGAGGTCCCCGCGCACCGCCCCGGCCCGGAGCTCACGCGGCTGCTGCCGGGGGCCCAAGGGTACCCCTAACCCGTCTGGAGCCCCGAGGGAGGCTGCCAGCCCCTCCCCCACACCCGCCGTCTGCAAGTCAGAGGGGAGCATCTATCACGCAAGCGATCTTCGCGGGGTCCTGAAGATCTATAGGTGCACGCTAGCTTGCGTCTGGGGAAATGGTGGTGGCTCTCAAGGCTGGGATGTGAGCAAAGAACTCCCTTCTGGGAGAGTCCCTTACGTCACTTAGGACACCTGCACATTGGAGATGGAAAAAATTACACTTTCGCTGATAGGGACCTGCCGAGCAAAAAGGTGACCAAGTGCAAAGCTGAGGCTGAAGATCCAGCAATGTGGACCTGCTGAGCAGGCATCTCGTGGTTTCTCAGGCTGTGGGTACCTGCGTGCAGGCATTTCCTTGTGGCAGGAGGAAAGGAACCCGGTGTACCTTCCTCAGTGCTCCCATGTAACTGGCTGCTATGGGCAGGCTACAGGAGAAGCTCTGATCTCTCTTCATACTCACAAGTACAACGATTATAGAGCATGCCAATGCCAGCTGCAGCTCTGAGCCACAGTCCTACTTCTGCTGTGCTCCCAGCAGAGAAAAGCATTAAGTGAGATGGAAGTGGGATGAGCTGAGGAGAATGTGGTGTGGCAGAGGGCATTCAGGGCACTCACTATCCAGCTCCAGGTATCCCACGAGGAGGCTCCACTACCCCTGCATTCCTACACTCTGTCTCACCCCAAAACCCCATTTTACAGTAACTTCCCCTATTCCAGCACAGCTTGCTCATTTGCTCAGCACAACCAGCTCATCATCTGGTGTGGCACTGGAGCTGCACGCGATCTGAGTAAAGCCCAGCACTGCCCTACCCAGGGTTCCTGGCACGGGCATGTGCACAGAGCCGTGACAGCTGAGAAAGCAGATGATCACACTTTTCTCCCATTTATGTCTTAGTTACTGGTTTGAAATAGCTTTCTTTCACAACATCTAGAAATGCTGTTGTCTTTAGGATCGCTGATGAGTATCCTCTAAAGAACAAAGGAAGCAAAACGACGCAGCCTCGAGCTCTTGAGCTGTTCGTAGGCAGTTCTTAGCGGCAATTAATGCTAGCTGCTCAAGGAAGCAGAGTCCCGTTTCAGAGCTCAGATGACTTCACCAGACTTTTTACGAGGACTCGGTATCTAGCAACTCCCACTGAAAAACAATGCAAGTTTCTCGAGGCAAAGCTTTGGCTGCCGGTTGTTGTTGATCAGCAGCTATTCAGGAGCTTTTATAAGATGCAGATGTGATCTCAGCTCTTTCTCTAGGAAACAAAAACAGTGAGGTTTCAGCCTGGCCTTAGCAGAATCACCATCATCTCAGCACCAGCCAGCAGCCTCTGGCAGGGCTTGCAAGACATGCAGAAACACCTTACGACACAGCTGAGGTGAATTCACCATTCCTGGGCTGACGGTGTAGTTTTATGGTCATACCAGTGTGGTAGAGAATAGGGTTTTCAAGAGCAGCATTTTCAACTTCAATGCTTTGTTTCCTCTGTATACACACACGTATCAAAAATTGAAAGAAAAAGAAAAGAACAGTACAAGTTTTGGAAGGAAAAGTCGATCAGGCAGCTGAGGTTTCTTACTGTTAAAAAATAACAAAAGTCTTGGGTAAAGAAAATGCTTAGTGGCCCCTTACCTGAACAACATTTGTCAGTAGTCTGTTAAGGTAAAAAGGCCCCTCTCTTTGAATGTAACCTCCCCAGTTCTCACAAGTCAAAAGATGGGAATAAGAAGGATTTGTTGACTGGAAAGGATGAAGCTTGAGGTTTCATGTTTTCTCTGAGATTTGTGGGTTGCCTTCCTGTTGTCAGCAGGCTGGAGTTTTGGACAAGGGATGATGTTAAAAATAGCATTCTCTCAGTTCTTGTATATTTGGGCATGCTTACACATTGTAGATTAGATTAGTGAGTTTCTAGAGGTGGGTGACCTGTAGGAAAATAGGAAGTGCCGTAATTATGCTTGTGTTTCTCCATGAGATAATAGCGTTAGATTAAAAATGTTTCCCTATGAGATTAAAAAAAAAGCATGTTGCCACACTGCTTCTACATTCTGTAGGAGCTGTGCCTCACCACGTGAGATCATCTGCACATTCTCCACGTGTTTTTAGTTAAAATTTCTTAAAACTTGGTCTTAAAGCCTGCGTATTTTCAGCCTAGTCCCTTAATAACTCGCATGAACCAGCATCTGTCATGCTTGTGGAGCACCTATTTGTAATGTGTATTTACAACCATTTAGCACAGAGGTTTTGGTAGCACGTCTTAAGGCTGATATTTCTTTTCCTTTTTCCTCGCTCAGTGTGATCAACAAATACGTCTAAAAAGAAAATTCCAGTCTCTCTTCTTACCCCCAACAAATAAATATAAGTGAGGGTTTTCATTTTTTTTCTTACCACTTTGTTCACTATGGAAACAAATGTTCTAAACTGAGATTGAGAATATTTTTCTATGAAAAAAAAAAAAAAAACGCCAAACAAACCCGAACCAAAAGCACCCACCATGCTGCAGCATCTATTTAATCCTCAGTCTCAGCTTCTAATTATCTTCCCATGCACCATGGTAGAGCTCTCAAGGACACCCAACCAGATGAGTGTTACCTTATATTGCTGGGTAATTCCCTCTCGCAGTGGCCAAGGGTTTGCTCGCATGGGTGCGTTCCTGATCTTTTCCCTTTGATCGTGTTTGTTGCATAATGTGCATGATTGCAGCCGGGATAACAGTCAGTCTAATGGGCCTGCTTGGGAATTTCTGTGCAAACACTTTTTCCTGGCTCCCACTCTTGCATGTCAACTGCTTTGCAAACAATGGAACACTTAAGCGACATGTTCTGGTTTATTTAAATTATTTTTGCCTGCTAAGGATTAGTTCTGAGTGAGTGCTGCCTCGGAGGCCTAAAGTTTGCTTTCAGGTTGTGCCTGCCTTGCAGCTCTGCAGTACTGGGAGCATGATACACGTGCGTGTTTGCCGAAACCCTTCTCTGCAAGACCTAGAAAGCAGCAAAACCGAATTTTTCCAGCACTTCTGTTAGATCCGTAAGGAGAGCACGAGGAGGGGGAGAAAATGTGGCTACCACTTGTGCCTGTGGAGAGAATTAGGAAAATACTTGACGGCTGGGCCGCTTACCCTTCTGCTTCCTATAAACGCGCTGTGGCTACAGCTGTGATAAAAGGGAAATTCCTAGGTATCCTTGACGCTGTTCCATCACTCTGAGTAATGCTGGAAAAGTCAGGCGACCACTGAGTTGGATGGCTCCTGGGCGTACACGGAATGGCAGCAGCTGCTCAGCATTATCCTCCCGCTGCCTTCAGCACTGTGCCACTGTGCCTGTGACTGGCCCTGCCACGGCCACCTCTGTCCATTCTCATCCCTGTGTGTGTTGGGCCTGGCATGGGGCCGGGGGGGTGTGGTGTTACCTTGAGCACGTGCTGGTGTGGATCCTGTGCTAGGAGCTGGCTCCACATCTGACTCTCCTCTTGCTTAGGGTGTTGGAGCTGAGAGTATCTGCAGTGGATACTGTATAAGCATGAACACTGGTCCTTTACCCATCAGAAGAGGGGTGGCCAGCAGGGACAAGGAGGTGATTGTCCCCCTCTACTCTGCTCTTATGAGGCCCCATCTGGAGCACTGCATCCAGGTCTGGAGCCCCCTGTACAAGAAAGACAGAGAGCTGTTGGAGAGGGTCCAGAGGAGAGCCACAAAAATGATCAGAGGGCTGGAGCACCTCCCCTATGAAGACAGGCTGAGGGAGCTGGGCTTGTTCAGCCTGGAGAAAAGAAGGCTGCAGACCTCATTGCAGCCTTTCAGTACCTAAAGGGAGCCTACAAACAGGAGGGGAATCAACTCTTTGAAAAGGTAGATAACAGCAGGACAAGGGGAAATGGTTTTAAGTTGAGGGAGGAAAGGTTTAGGTTGGATGTCAGAGGGAAGTTCTTTACTGTAAAAGTGGTGAGGTGCTGGAACAGGCTGCCCAGAGAGGTTGATGATGCCCCATCCATAGAGGTGTTCAAGGCCAGGTTGGATGGGGCCCTGGGCAGCCTGGTCTGGTATTAAATGTGGAGGTTGGTGGCCCTGCATGTGGCAGGGGGTTGGAGATTCGTGATCATTCAAGTCCCTTCCAACCCTGGCCATTCTGTGATTCCATGATTAGTGATTCTGTGCATGGCTGTCCACCAGGCACTGCCCTCATTCTTCATTTTGAGTCTTCGATTAATCAAACAAAAGTGGCTTAGCTTTTCCTGGGTCTGTTTACTGATGGTATCACTTTCTTCTAGCAGCAGTATCTCAGTTCCTGCTCCAGACTGTCCGCTATGGCACACGCCTGAAGCTGGTGAACACTTTCTCTCAGCTCCCCCAGACAAATGTCAGGAGCTGCATGGTGGCTTCTGGACTCCTCAGATACCTGCCCTCATCATGCAGGAAGGCATTAACCTTTGGTTCCAAGTGAGTGTCCTCATATCTCATCTCATTTAGCCTGACTGGCTATTTAATCCATCTGATAGAAGCATCTTTCCTTTGGCATCCTGTAAATCCAGGACTTGACCTGAGGATTTCCAGTGTGCTATCTACCCAGTGCTGGTGGAAAATACCTCACATGTTGTGCCTAGCTCTTGGTAGTCCCTGGCAAAAGGACTGAAGGAGGGGATGAGGAAGAAGGCCTCGCAAGTATGTTGTTACATACAAGTGGTTATTCATCATCTGCAGCCCAATGATCTGAAGTTGGAGGTGGGAGGGTTATGTAGCATGTGATAGCCTTTATTATGCTGGTACTTGCCATTTCTGCTATAGGTGAGATTGTGGCTTCACTCCAGAGTGTTTTGCCAGTGATATCACTAGGACCAAGGTTATTTCTTAAACTGGAACAGGTTGCCCAATGAGGTTGTGGATGCCCCATTCCTGGAAGCATTCAAGGCCAGGCTGGATGTGGCTCTGGGCAGCCTGGTCTGGTAGTTGGCGACCCTGCACATAGAAGGGGAGTTGAAAATCATTGTGGTCCTTTTCAACCCAGGCCATTCTATGATTCTATGATTCTACTTGAAATCATGCTCTTAGGACATGGTGAAAGCACCACCAGATCTTAACTTTTTCCCCAGACTCGAGCTTTTCCTTGCCTCCAGTTCATACAGAGCTCATACTGGACTCACCTTACCTTCATGCAGCACTACTTTCCTGAGTTTCCCTCACATAACCTATCACATGTATCTTTTGGGTCCACCTTAGGGCTGTGCATTAGGTCTTCTAGTTCAGCTGTGGTGAACTATCATTTTATTTCCTTGTACTGAATAAACAGATGTTTTCTGTATTAAGAGTCTCACTGGCATGCTCTTTCTTTCCTCGCCTTCAGCAATGGGCAGACATGTCTGACTAATTGCAGCAGAGCCACACTGGCACCTTTGCTACAATTGGGACAACATGCAAAAACACAACAAGGGTTTCCATGGCACAACGCCTGGTGAGATTAAAAAAAAAAACAAGGAATAAGAACTTTTCCCCATACCTTTTACTCTTTTACAAGGTGAAAGCAACACAGGCTTGGAGATGAGGCTGCCAAAGTGTGCAGCCTGCTTGCTCACAGCACTTCCAGCGGCACATCTCTTCCACGGAGGCTCTTCCTTAAAGGAAGCACATTTCACCTGCCCCAGAGCCAATGTTAGAAGGAGGAAATGGATCACAAAGAAATTCCTGAAGGTAAAGCCTAACAGCGTGGTGGTTTCTCTGCTTGCAGGTATTCTTTGGGAATGCTTTAAAAATGAGTAACACTGTGGGCTTTACTGGTGTCTCCTGCTAGTGGGAAACACCTTCTGTAAGTAAAAACAGGGTATCTGGAAGGGTTGGGTCTCAAGCAGCCCACTGGTGCATTTTGTTTTACCTGCATGCTTTATAAAGTGTGCCAGAACACTGTAAGAGACCAGAGAGCTTGGTTTTGTGTGGGCGGGAGCCCACAGGTGCAGGAAGAGCTCTCTGTATTTCTGTGTGTCATGGAAAGAGGGTTAATCTGGTTGGCTGGATGTACAACTGCACTCAGCTTCCTATTCCACGTTATTATTTGTGCATGGAACAGGCTGTCTAGGGAAGTAGGCATGGCCCTGACTGCCAGAGCTCAAGGACACTGCTCTCAAACATAGGGTTTGGATTTTGGGTGGTGCTGTGTGGAGCCATGAGCTGGGCTTGATGATCCTTCTGGGTCCCTTCCAGCTCAGGATATTCTGTGATTACCAGTGTGCTGCTTGCTGACCACAAAGGGTTTGTCCTACTTTGTCCTCCCAGGACCTCTCAGCTGAGAACAGCCATTCTTTTTGTCTGATTTGCCGTGCAGGTGAAAAACAGATCAATCTGCTTTTCTCTTTCCCATGTTGCCACTGAATTTTTGATGTTTACATGCATGTTGTAAGATTGGGAAATCTCCTAGTGTATTGTGTAACACGCTTACCGTATTCTGCCAAGCACTGCCAGCCTATCACTAGTCTTCCAGACCACCTTGCACATTTGAAGCTCATTAGCAGGTTTAATGAACTGATCAACTATCTGCCTCTCATTAAAGGTCTATTCCCTCATCCTGCCACATTCCCATGCTTTGTGCCATCTTGTGCCATGAGGCAGACACTGTTCTTTGCCCAAAACCCTCCTGTAGCATCTCTGCAAATCAAATGGTGGTGATTAAGAAATGGAGGCAGATAAGCGATTTCTTGTTTGCGTAAGAGTGGAAAAGCAGGGGGAGCAGAGCTAGGGATGGACCCAGAATAACTCACGGGCTGCCTGTCATAACAAGAAAGGGGAGCTTGCAACAACTTCGTTTTTCTGAGATGATTTATTAAATCTTCTGTAATTACTTTAGTCAACATCAATAAAGAACAATATGTTCTTTTCTAGCTTCCACAGGTTATTTAGGATCTCTCATAGCCATAATAGATTAATAATGGCCCTAGGATAGGATTGTATTACTAAACTTTTATTAAGTGTTTTAAAACCAATTGAAGACATTGCCAATTTGAGCTTTTTAAACTGTTTCGTGATATTTTCTTCCCATTTTTGGCAAAGCATTTTTGAAATACTCAATCCTGAAACTTTTAATCATTTTGCAAAAACAAAACAAAACAAAACAAGACAGCAATGTATGCTCTCTGATGCTGGCTGTATACTGGGATGACAATTCAAGTTAAGCACATGTTGTTGTGGGAAGAAGAAGGAATAAAATTTTCCAAAAAGGAAAATTACTTTTTCCAGCTTTTTTTTTTTCTTCTTTTTTTTTCATTTGTAAATGTATTTTAAGTCATATTCACGGTCTCTGTAAGTGATGTTTTAGGAGGTTTTGAGTCCTCCTTCCAGTTTGATGTGTCTTTTGGAAAGTCATGTCATAGAATCATAGAATGGCCTGGGTTGAAAAGGACCACAATGATCATCTGGTCTCAACCCCTGCTATGTGCAGGGTCACCACCCACCAGACCAGGCTGCCCAGAGCCACATCCAGCCTGGCCTTGAATGCCTCCGGGGATGGAGCATCCACAGCCTCCTTAGGCAACCTGTTCCAGTGTGTCACCACCCTCTGTGAAAAACTTCCTCCTATTATCTAACATAAACTTCCCGTCTTAGTTTAAAACCATTCCTTCTTGTCCTATTGCTGTCATTTCTGAAAACTGTCAAGTCTCCATATTGACAAATGAGAGAATGCCTTTGGCAACATAATAATAATTACTGAATAGTCTGTGTGTCTGAATTTCAGGGAGACGAAAACCCAAATTGACATTGTTCTACCTGTTGTGGACGTGCCCTATTTCTTCCATGGAGAACATTAGCCTGAAGCAGCTCCGTGAAATGAAAAGGCTCTGCAGGACTCAAGGTTTGGGGCAGAAAGGAGAAAAATGAATGTAGATACAGTCACAGTTGGCTTTTGCAGGTAAAGGTGTACTTGCAACAACATCGGAAATATGTAGAGGAATTACAGGACTCACTGATGCTGGGTCATAGGATTTGCTTTGAGTTGTATGTAGCTCAGGGTGGGGACAGACTGGGACTAAGAGACTGCCTGAGCTCTGTGCTCTCCCTGTCTCCCTCCCCAAGGCACAAGGTTATCCCTGGGGCTATAAATTTGTGGAATAATATACAATAAGAAGTAGTTCTTAAGACCAGATCTCTTCATTCTGGTGCTTACCTTCATGTTTTGATTTTGAAACAGAAATTACTTTTGTTGGGATCAATCAGGATGAAATGTGTGCACACTCTTTTTGATCTCTCTTGCCTCTTTGGGAAGCAGCTGATTTCATCCACACTTAGTCTCCTGCCTTATCTCTTGTCATTCATGTCTCTTTACTCCTCGATACCTTTTTTTCTGTTTTGTTATTTTTGTTTTTATTTTTGTTTTTGCTATTGCAATTAAAGCTCCAGGATCCTTGCTTTTGAGGAAGGAGCCTATCAGGGCAACCCTTGAGCTTCTCTAGCATCCTTTGAAGGACGGAAGCATATCTTCAGCACCTGGAGCCCACCTACCTCTGTCTTGGAAGGGCCAGCAAAGCCTAAGGCAGCAATATCCTGCCCCTGCATGAAGCCTGTGCACAGCCCACCCACAGTGCCCACCCTCAGCCCTGCACACTGTGGGACGTGACACAACCCCACCGTGGTGGACACGTCCCCACCAGGCGCTTGGTGACCTCCGCACCACAGGGCTGATGTATGCCTGAGGGACCAGCAAGGCTGGGCTGGGAGCTGTGGCATGCTGCAGCTGGCACCCCACAGACCATTCTTTAGCTCTGTTTTGTATAAACCCTTGTCGTTGTAGCACTTCATCTGGTGTGACGAGCACGCATGGTTTTTCTCTCCGCTTTCCCCCGAGGAGAGCCTGGTGTGGGCAGTGCAGCATTTCTGCTTCGCTCTGGTTATTTTAGAAACAAACTTAAAAACATATGTTCATTTCTGTTCGTTTATGTGACAGAGGCAAGGTCGAAGAGATAGGCCTGGGAAGGGGAGCTGAAACCTCCCTCAGAGCTGGGAGATCCTATTACACAGACTTTACTGCAGGCTGATGTTTAAGTTTCACTATAGGCTGCTCCACCACTGTAGTTTTAAATGCCCCTTTCTTTTATAAATCTCTTCCTTTTGTCTCTTTCTCCTTCCCTCACTTTCTTCTTCTGGACAATTTCACGCTTGGGACTACCCTCTGTTCTGCAGAAATATTCGTACATACCATAGGGAACACATTTGTACAATTATTTTAGTCTTAATTTTTTCCCTATCTAGATCCTTGTTGCATTGCACACAGCATCCCCGCTCCACAATTCTTACCTAAATCTCCACTTTTGTGAGGGCAGCCTGTACCTCTGAAATAGGTACGTGTTAATAGAATCATAGAATCATAGAATTACTCAGGTTAGAAAAGACCTTAAAGATCATCAAGTCCAACCACAACCTAACCATACTACCCTAACTCTAGCAGCTCTCTGCTAAACCACATCCCTGAGCACCACATTCAATCCACCACCCCAGTAGGGCAACAAAAGGAGCTGACAGGGAACAGCAATGGGCAATGGAAGGTTTCCTTGTGAAAAAAGCCAGAAATGGCATGTCTGGTTTTCATTCTTCATCACAGCAAAAGGAGAGTTTTGTGATGCTGGTGGAGAGAAAGGTGGGGAGGGGAGATTCCAGCAGATAACGTGGTGATACTGGAGACGTAAAGGTAAGGTGAGGGTGGTGCAGACCTGACCTGCATCTTGTGGAGCTTATCTCTGAGGCTGCTCCCTGCCCAGGCAGCCCTTGGAGGTCTCAGAAGTGAGAGGAAAAAGGAAAAAGCACATGACGATTAAATTAACTGAGAGTGCTTGGGTGAGATGCAGTCAGCTGTGGGCACTGATAAAGGCAGCTGTCGTGGGTTTCTGGAGTATTTTGATAAAGTCTTGCACTTTGTTGCTGTGATGGTGCTGTTGAAAAGTGACTGGTAACTGAAGAGACTTGAGGTTGTCTATCGTGGTGTGAAAACGCTAAGATTTTTGGCAGGAGTACTTCTTGTTCTTCCTCCTCGGGACATTGGTAGGAATGCAACTGCACATTTCAGTGGGAGCAGTGTATGACCCACGATGAGTCCCTCTGCAAATTGAGAAACATTCTCTTAACCACTTCTGAGATGTCTGGATGTCAGTAGAAGTGATCACAGTCCCCTTTGTTGTTCAGAAAACATATTTGCCATAGCGGAGCAATAAACTTTCCCAGATTTTATTTCCTAAAAAAAAAAAAAGTTAATTAAATAACAGGTTGGTTGCATTTGTAAACAAAGCAGTCTGAATGCAGTGCTAACAGAAAGCGTCAGGGACTTTTACAGCTTTTATAGCTTTTTCCCTGGGCAATTGCTTTTTAGAAAACTCAGTGCATATGATTCTCTTTTATTAGAAAATAAACAGAAAACACATGCCCAGAAACCACTTCAAAAGGTCTGTCTCCAATGCCAGTGCTAGAACTGTGTAGAATCTCCTTATGGAATGAGAAAGCAGACAAGTTTTTTTCTGGCCCTTTGGTTGAAAGCTCTGGCCAGCGTAGTGAAAGGTTTATGAACCTTCTGGAGAGTCTCCACTGCATGTATTGAACTTACACTGCTGTTCTGCTACTCCTTTGAAAATAGGGGAAACCCCACAGCCTGAGGATGCAAACCAAGCAGTGGGAAGAGGAAGGGATGGAACAAAAAGGTAAGAAAATAGTAACTAAAGGCACAGCTGGCTGTGTATTGCCATTGCTGATCCTGATCCTATAAATTATCTAGTTCACTGTGGTTTCTGCCTCCCTTCTGCCTGGTGTCTGGCTTTGAAGAGGCTTGGTGGTTTCCTTTGCCTTCCCAAGGGAGAAGAAGGCAGGTAAGGGTAGGCTGACTGCAGCTACAGGATTCTGAGAACTGGGGGGCTTGATTCGCTCTCCATGTATGCTGAGGGAAGCAGCACAGTGCTCAAGCAAGCAAATGAGAGCTTGCTTAGTTTGGGTAAATCAATTAAGAACAGATAAACTAACAGATCATTTTCACACCTCCTCACAAACCTTTGTGTTATGGTGCTTAAACTTGTAGAAAATTTTGCGCTAACCAAGTGGGATAAAAGCCCATGTTTCCTTTCCAGACAGGTGAAAAGAAGTTAATTTCCCTTATACCACTGATGGTCTTTTGCAACGTAAATCCCAAGCAGTTCCTGCTATGTCTCCCTTTCCCCAAGCTCCTTCTAATGATGTTGGATCTGCAGTCTCCTCCATCAGGTCCCAAGCTGTCAGTTTGTGACCTCTGAGAGAACAAACACACTTCTCTGTTGGAAAAGGTAGGGATGAAGGCATGGAAATTTGTGACATTTGAATTCTAATTTCTGAGTTCAAATTTTAGAAGTGTATATTGTGAAGTAGCTAAGAGACTGATGAAGCCAAAGGGAAATTGCTGGAATATCAGCTTGTATGGCAGGGTGACTTCCTGTGCACAAGAAACCCTCACGATACCCCACAGCTCTTCTGGAGCTGCTGCTGAAGGGGTGCAGCTTCTGTGCCAGCTGTCTCTTGGGTATAAGGGAGCTTATTTCTTTGAGAAGCAGAGCTCTTTTCTTGCCCACTGAGTCTTTAAAGCAAGCAGCGTGAAACCTAAGAGATGCAGCATGACTTCCAGAGCTCCGTGATACGCATGGGTGATTTTTCCAGCATTGTTCATGCAAAGAGGCCAGATAAGTGGGGGAACTTTGCACGCGGCGCTTCCCCTCCGAGCTGTCCCACGGCTGCCGTCTCGCCGGACCACCCTGGTGCAGATTACAGCAGCAGTTTATTAACACAGAACAGAGATCCGGGGCTGGCCATAGGAAGCTCAAGCCCTAACAGCACACTGCAGGATCCTTGTTCTCCCTACACAAAGCTGCTCTGTGTTAAACTATGGTATCGACCCGCACTGGCGTACAAACGCCTTTCGTTAGGGTTTGCACGCTGCGTTACAGGCGGCTTCAGTTAAAGAACAAAATAAATCTGTTGGTGGCAATTTGCTGTTTAGCAGTACTGGAAGTGAGTTTTGGTAGGGAGGACTGGCAGTGTGGGTCTCAGTGCCACAGTGGTTTCGCCAGCGGTTGCAGAGGAGATGGAGAATTTTCAACATCTCATCCGACGTGGCTCTCCCAGAATGCAGCCCACTCCGAAGTCACAGGTCTCTATACACTTAATAAGGTGCTACAGCAGAACTTGAAATGTTCGCTCACAGACCCCTCTTCTGGATCATTTCATTGACCACCTGGTGTCGTTTTTTTTAAAAGACACACTGCGTCCTGCACATCGCGTTCTGTTTACCCTTCGGCCCCAGCTTGGCAGAGTGCCTGGGAATGTGCCTGATGTTCAGCTCTTTCCCAGATCAGCTGGACACTGAAGACGGTGTGTAAAGATAAGCTGTCATGTTGCTGCTCCCACTCAGCAGAACACCTCCCAGCACCTGCTAGTGGAGCATCTGGATGCGGGATGTAAGAGGGACGGGAGAGGTGCACAAACAGAGCTTTTTGTTCCACGTGGTTCTTACCACCTGTTTTTGGGGATCGCTCAGATTTATGTGCTTGAATACTGATTGCAGATGGGCATCAAAGAAATAGGAGAGAGAATTTTTCAAAGGAAAAATTGCTCCTTTTGTGAGTCCAAGCAGAGTTATTCTTTGACACCAAGAGCCGACAGGCTGCACTGAGTTTCTGATTTCCTGTGTGTCGGTGCTACTACTATAGATGAAGCTGCATGTTGCGGTCTGACGATTCAGTTCATTTGGTTGGCTGGAGAAAGTCTCCTCTTTCTGCAGTGGCCAAAGTGAAAGGCACATTTAAACCTGAGGAAGTGCTGGCAGCTGCAGAGGATGCCTGCTAGAAAGTAAAACCTAAGAAATTACACTTAATGAACAGCGGATTGCATGCATTTTTAGTATGTGTGTGTGTATGCACAGGAAAAAGAGAGGGAGAGGTAAGAACAACCCAAAGCCCAATGGGAATGAGAGCAGGCTGTTGGTATGGGCTGATTTGACAGTAAATTGGTCTGATGAAGGCTATGGTATCAGTCGCTGTGGGTGCCTGTTTTTCCAGAGGGACAGCAGACCCACCACCACGGTGCCACTAGTGCACATAATACAGTGCACTAGTCTTGGCATGGCTGCTGCCCTTTGGGTTTTCCAGAAGGGGCATCTTGGCAAAGGGATTCAACTGAGTGTGTTTAAACTAATAAGTTATGTTGGCTAAACTGCTTTTCAGTTTACTTATATGTCCTTTTACATTGCTGGGAGCACATCGATCTTACACTAGGTCTTCTAATTGTGCCTATCTGGATATCTTTGGTTTTGTCATGATGATGTTCTTGCTCAATTTATTTAGCCAGTGTGGATGTTGTTCTCTACTCTGGGAGGCCTCTGTGGTTCAGGTGGTACCACAGCTTTTCTAGGAAGAAAGCCAGAATTTTTCTGGTCATCAGAGTACATTCTCATTTGCTCGCTCGTGTTTTGCTGCTCTTATCTCTGTTTATATTATATTGCCATCAAGGGCACTCCTACACTTGTCCTGTGTGGTGCCCAAAGGATCACCCCTCTGCAGCTTGTGATCTGCCTGTGGGATGGAAAGGCTCAGGGAGAGTGGGTGGAAGTTGTTAGAAAGATCTCAATGGTGCATTTTTTTTCTTCTAAATGAAATCCCTGCCACAGGTTTTCCTACATGCTGAAGCATAGAAATCCATGTGAAAGTGTCTTAACTCCTTGTGTGTTTATTATCAAAGTCCTTCAGGTTTGTTTGACTATTTTGTTGTTTCCAGTTTCTTATCTGATGACTTCTGGTTACCTTTCTCATTTGGAGGCAAAGTCCATAGAAAGATCAGCATCTACTTCTGGAGGGAAGAGCTGGCAGAAAAATGGGTCAACTCTGCCCCCTTTTTAATCTGAAAGTTGTAAAACAACTGGAAATTCTGAAAGAACTGCATCTCCTACAACTGCTATTGTCATGGTCCCCACAAAGAATATGTGTCATCTTAAATTTAGGGAACAGAACTTCTACTCCATGAAGCTGTGGTCTTATGGGTGACAGGACTGGTAGGCATATTTATTAGGAAAATCGACTGGAGGCAAACATCACTCGGGGCTGTTTTCAAGGACGCCCAAGGATCAAGGTGTCACATCATTCCCACGAGCTCCACACTGCTGCTTCATCATCCCTGGCGCCAGAAAGCAGGCTCTTGGCTTCACCTGGATCTTTCTGTCATTTAAAGACTATAAATTCTTGCCTTATCCCAAGGTATCATTGCATACGTATGCTCTGCCTGCTTTAATGTAGTGTTTGCTTTTCAGAGAGAGCACAGAAGCAAAGAAAGCTAAGTTATGTCTTGTAAAGTAGCTGACGAGCCTTTCTGGCTGAGCAGAGTTTTGACTGGAAAACTGAAAACTCAGCTCGTATTGTACCAGTATGGCTTTAAAGCCAGGTGCCTTGGCTGCTAGTATTTAATGAGTGGATACTGCAAAAGGAGTATAAGAAGATTTATGACAAAGACAGTGAGGTGGGGGAGTCACCGTCCCTGAAGCTGTTCAAGAAACATGTGGATGTGGCACAGAGGGATGTAGTTAGAGGACGTGGGAGTGATGGGCTAGTGGTTGGGCTAGAGGATCTTGACTGTTTTCTTAATCTGTGCTTGTGATCTGCCATGTGGCAAAAGCAAGGAACAGCAGTAACCAAGACCTTGTTCAGGTGAGGGTGAGCAGTCTTGAGAGCATGATAGAGAGAATGCAAAATACTTGAGCACAGCAAGACAGCAGACAATCTTGTAGTGGTTATTTGTGGCATATTTATAACCATGCCCAAGTAACTAACATGGTGAGTTATTTTTAGTCCTCCTTTGGTATAGAGAGAATACTACACTGGTGTTAATGAAGGCGAAAAATGAATAGTGAGGAGGTTAATGGTGGTTACTTTAGCTAGAGAGCAGAAAGAAAATCCCCTCCAGGGCCACTTAACTCTGCTCTCTAGATGCTCTGCTAGAGCAGATTTACCTCAGCTATCAACTGCTTCCTCTGTTCCCCCTGTAAGTGCCTGATGTGATGGTGGTGATGTCACTCTCATGACCCATGATGTAAAGTGCTGGTGAGTTTCAGTCTCAGGAGATGAGCACAGCTCTGAAGTCTCCTGAAGAACCAGGCTGATAACACCTTTCCAGGTGTCTGAAAAACCTGCCTCAAGCGGCAGTGCAAGTTCAAATTTCTCCATGTTTTACCAAAACTGCAGGAAACGCGGTGCTTTCCAATAGCATTCCACAGCCACTGCATTGATTTTGGAAAATTCATTTAAAAAAAAAAGCCTAGTGAGCTGAATAAGGCTGAATTAGCAAATCACAGATACCCAGAAGGAACAGTGTCCTGTTTATAAGGAAAGAGTGTGGTTGCTGTGGTCAGACAGCCGGGCCACAGGCCAGGTCATGCCTCCCCAGCATATTTTATCTCGCCTCATGTCACAGGCAGGATGTGGGGGATGGATGGGTTCTTCCTCCGAAAGGTGAGGGTGATTCATGCAGCACAGGCGTTGCTCCTTTGCTGGCTGCTTCACCTCACACTAGCAGAACCTTTGCTTCTTCGTGAAGGTTGTCACAAGGGAGATCCCCGCTAGCAGGGTCAGCACAAGCCCACCTTGGGGCTGACGAGGCAGGCCACAATAAGGCCTGAATGGACCTCTTCTCCTCAGCCAAGTGCTAACACTTATGTAGTCTGCTCAGCAAGTGGTGTGACTGTAACACTCAAACCATGCTTTGGAAGCCATTGGGCTGTGGCAGCATTCCTGGGTGTCCTCGCTTGTGCTGTGGGCTACTGGTGCAACCTGTGGGTTCTAGAAGGCCAGTGGGCCACAGGGGCAGCTCTCCACTGTCATCTGGAGCTGAGGGGACATATAGCAGTGGCATTTCAAGATCCAGCTTTCCCCATAGCTACAGGCATCTGGTGGTTCCACTGTTGCTGCAGTTTTCTGGAGGGCAGCAGTGAGATTAAAGGTGTGTTGTGAAAAACCCTCAAATTCAATTACTAGATACAGATGAAATCCAGTTTTTTGTCTCCATCCAGGGATCCCTGTGTCACTTCCAGGTGCCACAAACATGCCACTGGCACAAAGCTGATGCTGTCCTTCTACATGGCCTGATGGGCTCACTGAGGCCACAGGCCATAGGCAAGTGTGATTCGAGTCCCACTTATTTATAAGATGTTCACGTGGCACAGGCACTCAGAAACTGGCTGCTACTTTCTCAATGCTGTGCACTCATTTTTGTGGTCACGTAGCATCTCCCCCCAGACAGCTGTTGATCTGTAACAGAGGGTAAGACTAAAAGAGACATCACCATATTCCCCTCTTCCACACATATGGACTGCTGAGACTTCAGCAACTGTGTATAGCTACACGTATCAGTGCTACAGGATACAGTAAATTCATACTGAAGGGAGACTGTGGGAGGACTGCTATTGTTCTGTGTTCTTTCAGGGTTTACAAAGACTGAAGAGTCTTCAGTTCATGGTAGGTTTCCTCTGAGTTAATGTGCTTACTGGAAGACAAACTCTCTCTCTGGCAAAACTGTCACTGGGGCTATGCCAGTATCTCATGGAGAAACTCAGATGCTGCTCCCAGAGTCTGGTTCTCTGCTGAGCATTGTTGCAACAGGCAGATGTGCTAAGGTGTTGCTGAATGGCCTTCTCTTTCTCCCCACTCCAAGAAATGCATCGTTCCCCAGTGAAGTACTTATTTTTCAAACTAGTTAATCACATGCACTGTAAATATGCCCCCCCCAGTTTACTCTGGAATTGCTGCTGCTGCAGTCACAGGAAGGAAGGATTTCACTGCTGCTGTTGCAGTGTTTTTCTTGTTTCTTGTAGCATGCTGTTTAGACAAAGCCCCTTCCCCTTTCCCTTTCATCTAGCTCCTTGGCCAGTTTTCTTTTCTGAACCCCTGAACTGATCTATTTCCTTGCATATCTCTACTATTTCTCAGTAATTTGCTCAATTTCCCACCCCCCACTTAGAATGAGGAAACTTCCTCAACAGCAATGACCAACAGAAAGGCCTTAAGAACTCTTCATCTTTATTTAGCCCAGACTTTTCCTTTCTGGTTTGCAGATGCCTCAGGCCGGACATTACCTCAATCACAGAACAGTCCTCATTGTGAGGAGTGCAGGCAGAGCAGACACCTGCCTGTCCTTCTGACACACTTTTAGGCTCCTGTACTGGGGCTGGCTAAAATTTCCTATGTGATGTAATGAAGTGGTTTCCTTTTCTGTAGATTCACAATGAAAAATATTTTTGCTGCTGTTGTTTAGTTCCTCTCTTCTCACCTCATGGATTTTTCCAATTTTTGTATTTTAGAACATTAAGTTGTTTTTATTCAGTTCTTTCCTTCTTTGCTCTCATCCATCTACATTTTTTGCTTTTTCTGTCAAGCACTAAAATCTATGAAGGGCAGATCTGTGGGTGGGTACAGTGTTTTTTCCTTCCACTGAGCTCCTTGCCTCTGCTGCAGTTATGCCTGGTTTTAACCTCCTCAGCATCTGACAAATCCTGAAGTAGTTGTGAAGTAATTGGATTTCCTTTTTATCTTTTGCTATGCTATGGCTTCTCCTTGTCTTCTGAAGTGATGGGGAAAGAAGGCAAATCTCTGTTTCTTTGTATGAGCAGAGGAGGCTCCTGCTCTTTGGAAGAAAGATTCCACACCCTCATTATTATTAGAGTGAGTTTAGAAGACTTATTTCTTCTGTGAAGTGTTTTCATAGAATCATGAAGGAAAAGACTATTAAGATCACCCAGGCCAACCATCATCCCATGCCCACCATACTCACTGCCCACGTCCCTCAGTGCCACATCCACATGGTTCTGGAACGCTTCCACGGACCGTGACTCCACCACCTCCCTGGGCAGCCTGTGGCACTGCAGCACCACTTTTTCCGAGGAGAAAAGTTTCATAACATCCAACCCAAACCTCTACTGGTGCAACTTAAGGCCATTCCCTCTTGTCCTGTTGCTATTACCTGGGAGAAGAGGCAAACCTCCACCATACCACACCTCATTTCAGGTCATTGTAGAGAGCAATAAGGTCTTCCCCGAGCCTTCTGTTTCCAGGAATAGATGACGTACAGGAGGCAGAGAATGTATGGTTACATACTGACTTGGGACATGCAGGAAATCAACCTGAATTTCCCCCATTTTTATAGCACGTCACTATTTCCCACCTGTCTCAGTGTCCACAGATCAGATTTACGGGTGTGGGGTCTAAGTGAAGGTGGTACATGTATGCACGTTAGGAAGCTTTTTCCTTCCTTGTGAGATGCCGATGCATAAACACGCGCAGAGTGCATATCCAGTGTGTGCGCAACCACGCACAGGCGCTGTGTACTACCCCGTTGTGTGCTCAGGGTGCAGAACCCCTCGCTGCTCCTCCAGTGGAGCAACAGTGCCAGCTGCTGGTGCAGCACTGGCCTGCCAGCCTCGGCGGGCACCGGGAACAGCTTCAGTGCTGCAGCTTCTGTACTCAGAAATAGTTCCTCCCTTCTATTTCCGTACCAACATAAAACTCCTCTGGGGTCATGTAAGCCCATGCTGGTTGCTTTCTTTGGGACGTTTCGCACTGTAATTCTAACACTTAAAGCTATTTAAAGCCCCGTTCCTCTTCCAGCCTCTCTCCCGGGACTGGCTGCTGGGAAGGAGAACTTTTTGCCGAAGGTAGCAGAGGGGCTGGCGAAGGTGTCGTGTGCTCTTTGGGACCTTTTAGTCATGCCGTGGCAGCAGCAGTTTGCCAGCTGCAAATTTGAGATTCTCATTTGTAGTCCAGTTGCTGTCAGCACCGGGGAAAACGAGGTGGCAGCTGATGGGCAGGGCACTGTACAGTGGTTTTGGTCAGAAAAAAAGGGAAACAAAAAGATGAGGGGGAGAAGAGAATGTACAGGTGTACACAGAAGTTTAATTTAATTAGAATTCCAGTGAAATGCTTAATAAAATATATGGGCTTATTTTTCAAGAGCTGGAAAAGGCAAGCCAATTTCTCTAACTTTTTCCCATGAAAAAACGTTCTTGTTTGTCTTTTGATCCATAATGCCATGTCTTCTCTCTGTCTCTCTTCCTTTCAGCCTGCTGTCATAGAATCATAGTGTCATTAAGGCTGGAAAAGATCACTAAGATCACGTAGTCCAACCATCAGCACATCCCCACCATGCCCACTAATCATGTCCTTTGGTGCCACATCCACACGGTTCTCAAACGCCTTGCTTTATAGTGGGTCACAGTGTTTGTAGAAGGTGGCAGTCGGGGGAAGTGAATGGGGAGTAGGAAGCGGGGGGGAAAGGAGGAAGGGGGCAAAAAGGAAAGGAAAGAACGAGAAAGTGTGAGAAACTAATAGAGCAAGGGAAAAGAAAGTGAATGGGTAAAGCAAGTAGTCTAGGAGGGATCACTTGGGAAAATCTGTAGAAAAAAAAAATAGGGATGGATGGAAGGAGAAAAACAGGCAAACAAGTTGAAAGTGAGTTCGATGAGTCAGGGTTTCTGTGGTTCACTTGCACCTCCCAAAGTGCCATTTTTTACTCTCTCCCAGCCACAGATTTTCTTTGTAATTATTTTGGAACAGGGCATAAGAGGAAAACAAATAAATCAGCTATTCTTAACCGCATGTGGGGAGCCTGGGCTGAGATGCAGGTAGGCTGCAGCCATGTGAGAGTTCTGCGTTGAGGTCAGAGAGCTTTGGCCACCTGGCAGGATACAGCCACTGTTGCTCTGTTATATGGGTATTTTTCCCTAATGCCTTCACAGGAACAGCTAAGACAGGCAGGCCAGAGCTGAAGAAAAAGAAAAAAATATTATATTGGTGCTGCCTGGAAAAAGAGGAGCATCAAAGCTCTTTCAGTGAAGCTGAAACCTCAGGTTTTTTTTGGGAGGGTTTTACCGGGTGAAGTTTATAAGCCCTATGAAAATAGTTCCCAGGCTGGCTGTTGCTGGCTCAGCACTGCAGCCCCATATGGGAGCCCTGAGGTGGCCTATGGGCACTGCAGGGGTCAGGAGACCTGGCACTAAGTGTGTAAAGGAGAGCGAAGTACAACTTTCCCCTTTCAGTGACAACAAGCAGCCAGATTGACCTGAGGCCTAATGCATAACCTCGTCTCTGTGTTGAAAGATATACAACCTGCTCTTCCAAAACCCCAGCTGGTCTTCCTGCCCTTCCTTTCTCACCCATCTCCACACTGCAACCCCGTGTGTTGACATATAGCAAGTATAAAGCTCTAAAGTAAGAAGTATTACTGTAACTGTTGCATTTTCGGTTTGGGTATTATGTGGCACTCAGCTGGATTCCTTCTTTGCGTGTTCATTGCTTAAATCACCTAATTGCTGTATTTTATTTCAAATTGCAGAGTAGAGAGAGGTTTTTATTTAGCACTATAACCTCATTTCACAAAGGATTTTTTTTTATAAGTGTTTTGTTGTTTACGTTGCTCATTATGAGACTTCCAGGGTCTGCAATTTAAACATTTTATTGGTACCAATTTTGGCTGAACCCATAAAATAACTGTTAAAGTCTGTTCATAAAAAATAAAAACACAGATTTGGTCAACAGCAGGAACTTATTTGAGAGACTAAAGGCACATCTGGAAGCCTGAAGGAGAGAGCCAGGAGTGTCTGGAAAGCCACCATGGAAAGCATGGAGACAATGAGAGACAGAGGAGGACAGGATGTCTCCTTCAGAAGAGCTGTTCCACCATAAGCACTCCCATAGCAAACTTTCTAAGATTATCAAAAGTAAAATAACATACATGGCCTGAAGGAAAAAAAAAACAAACAAGGACTGGCTATTTCCTATTAGGTTGCCATTGGCACTCAGTACTGCTGTGTACCTTCTGCATGGAGACTGCAGAAACCTTATGAAGCTCCATGGTTACTGGTGAGTAATTAAAAGACCAATCTCTAGGATTTGTGTGTGAATACCTATAGCATTTTCCTTCCAGTGAAATACTCTCTGACTGGCCTGCTTTGGATTTGGGTGCCATTGCATCATCCCTGCTTTCCTTGAGCCACCTTTATTTTCTTCCCCAGGTCTCCACGATTCAGTCACTGTCCACATGCCTGGTGTCCAGACCAATCTCACTCATCGGGAGCACACAGATGTGAGAATGTAACTGTATGCTGCTTATGAAGAAAATTCTGTGAAATTGATTTTGTCACTAGGTTTGTAATGAAAGTGTTTTGATTCCTTATTACTGATATAAGCAAATGAGATGGGTGTAATCCTGGCTCTCACTCCACTCCCTTTTCTTGCAGGGCTGCTTTTTGACCATTCTAGTGGTGCAACCTGACAAGCCATAGCACCAAAAGTGGGGAAGGAAAAACTTTATAAGCCTGCCTAACTCCAGGCTGAAGCTGCTGTGTGAAAAGGAATCCAGTTGAACAAAGCTCAACAGAAGTCATGCCATGCCACATTGCTGTGGGAGAACGTTCTCATCCCTATCTCTTATGGGATATTTGAAATCATGAGATTTGTGTGCATGTTAAGTGCCTACTATTTTCAGTATCCTTTTTAAAATGTAGTCTATAATGCTACTGGGAAAAAGAGAACACATTTGAGAGAGATTTCTCCTTACATATACAATTTGAGGGTTTGGAACAGACCACCTGGGAGTTCATAAACTCCTGAGGGACTTGTGAGATCCAGTCTGCATGTGAAATTTCTAAAATATACTACAAAACTTTGGTTGCAAATATTCCATGGTCAGCAGTCCCAAATGGGGACTCAAACAACTGGGAGGAAGGAGCCAATGAGGACTTCGTGAAATTCAGCTAGAATGAATGCTGAGTCCTGCATCTGTGATGGATGAACCCTAGAACTGATAGAGGCTGGGGAGTAGCTTGGCAGGAAAGGCTTTGAACGCCTTGACTTAGGTGGTGGGCTCTTCTCAGCACACCTGAAAGAGGGACAAGAGACAGAGTAGCCTTGTCTGAGCTCACACCTAGCCTTGCTTTGAGCAACAAGCTGAACTCAGAATGTCCTGATGTCCCTTCCCACCTGAATTATCCTGCGATCTTCTAAAGTGCTGCCTTTAGAAGTCTGAGGTTCCCATTCCCCGTCTGCCTCCATCTTGCTCTGAGAAGCTGCCTTAGCCTCCCTGATTTTTCTCTCCTGTTTTGAACCATGTTCTGTAAAGTGATTCCTATTCCAAACCAGTAGAGTCTTGTTATGGTCATGTTCTGATTTATTTTGCTGCACAATGATGAGCTACAGTGAAGCTATGCATTTCTATGAGTAAAGGAGGAAGCTTATGTGCTTTATTACTCATTACAGGCCTTTAAAATAACCAGCCTTCTACTGTAAATATATTATTATTTTTCCTAACAGCAAAGCTAAACTGCGAGTGTGCCACTAGATGTCCCTTGTCACCCAAGTGATGGTGGCACATCCCCAGCGCTATATGATGTAGCATTGTAAAGAAAACAGTGTTTAAAGTATTCAGTATGGAGAGATGTCGTGGCTGCCTCAGAAAGACTTGTGTTATCCTCAGAAAGGTATTGTCATAGTTAGCAAGGAGATAATTACTTCTTTTATCTCTTTTGCTTAATTCTAAAGAGACCCCCTAGTAAGAAGGTGTTTGTTCTGACGGGGTATTTTCACCAGGACCAACCCAAATTTCCTGGTGAAAAATGCTCACGCTAGGAATTGCTGGGTTGCTGAGCCTAACACTGTGATGTTCAACAACTTTTGCAACTCCAGTACAGGCCAGGGTAGCGTGAGATGGGATCTGGCAATCTGTGTCAGTAGATCTGCTGGAGAAGGGATAGGTAGCTTCAGGATTTTCTTGCACCTTTGTATTGATTCTGACCTTTGGGGCAATTTTATATTGAAATGGACCAGTGAAAGAAGCTGCTTCTGTGAAGAGGTGTTGGACATTAAGCATTAGTTTAAGGAAAGAAGAATACGAACAGAGGGAAAAAAATTGGTCTCAATTTGCTTCAGACAGAAACCCAACAAATGACAGTTAAAGCCCTTCATCCTCTTTGTTGGCTGCTGAGAGCAGATCATCTGCTTCATGTGAGCTGGGAGAGCTGAGCTGGCCAGTGAGGACGGAAGAAGATGCATGCCAGGCTCCTTGAGGAGGTCCTCAGGGCACCTCTCTCCTTCTGCCCCTCTACCCCACCAGAGCAGCCAAAGCCTGGAAGGATCATTGTGTCCCTACAAAGGGGGAAAGAGGCTGGTGAGTGAGGGAGCAGCCTCTGAGGCTTGCAGCATGGAGCAGGGAGAACTAAGGAGCAGATCTGCAGAGTTGGAGACAGTGCCCAAGGGGGCACAGGGAATCCCCCCTACCCTGATCCTACTCGGCATCCTCAAACCTTTCCTTACACATCCCAGCCCCGGCAATAGGGCAGTTTTGGTCTCTCCTGCAGCACTTCAAGTGTTAATTCCTCTGCATGCCATGTGGCCTTGTTTTCGCTGGAGTGGAAGCTGCGTTTCCATATGTCCCTATCTCCCACAGCTGACATCTCAGCGAGGACATCTGTGCCACTCGGCATGCCTGTGCCCTTGCACAGCTTCACCTGGGCTTGTGTGGAGTGATTCCTCCTCGCCCTTGTCCCCCATGGTGCTCTGTGCACCTACCATTGCTTCATGAGTAGGGGGATGCGCCTGTCCCCATGCTGCCTTAAAGCATCTGAGCTGGGTTATCAACCCCGGGTAATATTTTATAGAATCATTAAGGCTGGAGAAGACCACTAAATCACCTATTGCATCCGTAGTGTGGTTAAAAACTTGCTCTTATCTGTTTCTCAGGATGTGCCGCTGCAGTGTGTGATTGCACAGACCACGCTGTTGTGTATTCAGTCACATACGCCTGCCTGAATGACTGAAATGAAGTATTTGCTGCTTTCTACTTCATTTAAAACTGCGGGAGCTGGTAGTGCTCATCCTCCCCACATACTGAGGTATCCACACGTGCCACTCGCCAGCCTGGGGCTTCTTCCCCAAGCAATGGCTGAGCAAATCTCTTAATAACAGAGCAACTACTCGCAGATTATTGTGATCATAATTTGGCTGACATAGCCTTTATTACTAATGGCAATGCTGGAAATGGAAAACCCAGCTTGATGCTCAGCTCCCCGCTGGAAAGTAATAAAATAAAGAGGAACAAAATCCTTGAATGTATTTGCTACCAAACCTTTGAAAAACACAAAAGTGGAACCCTGCCAATGCTGTTGCTGGCAGTTTTTCAGACCAGAGCCTCTCTCCAAGGTAGGATTAGAAGTGGAAATGCATTTGTATCTATGACATTAGTATCATGTTGTTGTGTATGAATGGAAGGTTTGCAATCATTTGACATCTATTGGTTTCTATTGCAATTATGGTACGCTCCTTTTTTTACCTTCAGCATATTTTTTACCAATCTTCCAGTCATGGAATAATTAGAAAACAGCTCCAGTTATTGTAGAAACAAAAGCAAACAAACAAACATGCAAACAAAAAAGTGTTTATTTTGTCAACTCAAAGAATGATCAAAAGAAGAGTTTCATTTAAAATGTTCTTATAAAAATGGAGGGTGTGGCAGCTTTTCAGTGAGGTCTTTGTTGACAACGTGGGCTGAGGGAGGTTGGCTTTTACATAAACTCTTTTGTCCATCTCTGTGCAATGGCAGAATTTGCAGCTAGTTTCTGATGGCAGAAATTTCTTGTCTGTGGCAGCTGAGAATGATTTGATATCATGTAGAATAATTAAAAAAAAAAGCATCCCCAAACTACAGCTCAGGTTTTGAATACCAGAATGAGCCTTCAGTGCTAAGGAATGAGCCTCCAGTGCTAAGTATACAGAAAAAGCTATTTAATTTTTTTTTTTTTTTAAACATAAAAAGAACCACTCGATACAATCAGTTGCAAATAAAAGAGGAATGTAAATGTACTTTTCAATTATTTATTTATTTCGCTCCCTCTCTTATTTTCATGTTAATGTTTCTTTGGCTCTTGGCTCGTAACCATCCAGTAATTATAATTATAAAGAAAACCAACTTTCTACCATGCTAATTAAACTGTATGTCACATAGGCATTTGGGGAGAATTTCCCGTGCTTTCCAGTGTGAATGGAAGGAAAGAGCAGCGGTGCTCAATTTAGACTCGATTTTTTTCTGGTACCTTGCAAAAAGGCTTCATTGTATTTTGATTAATCTATGCTTGGTCCACCTCGGATGTTTCCATGGAAACAGATTTTTTTTTTTCTTGATGGCAACTGTTAGGCTCAGGAAGGTTCCTCTCTAAACAAAACCACTCCAGCTCCTAAAGAACTACTTGTTGGAAATCTAATGTGCATAAACAAAACTCCCAAATTCCTCCTCAGTATTACGGTATTGTTGTCGTCAACGCTAATGAAGAAGTGTTTTCTTAATGGTATGGAATGGTGCCTTTTCACTCCACAAGGAAATAGAATAATGTTATTATTCTTTCTACTGCAAGAGAGTGCTTTTCTTGGACCAGGAAAAATTAGATTGCAAACCTTTCAAAATTAAATTTTAAGAGTTCCAGTGTGTGAATATCAGATAGTTCTAGGCATAAATCATTTGCCTAAATGGCTGTAAAAATTTAATTAAACTTGCCTTGTAGATTGGCAGCAATTTGAATGAATTATTCTTCTGCGTCATATTATTTTTTTCAAAGGAAGAAATAAGCTCTTCATACACACTGCTACTACATTTGAAATAGGTTTTAAAAGTCAACCAACAGGGGGAGCATTTGTATGCTGTTATTATTGTAACAAAGTGCTTGGAAACATGACCATATTTTTTTGTCTAAAATTATTAGAATTCTTGACCATTTTTAAAAATAGAAAAGGTTTTGGTTCGGAGTGTTTCAGTTTCTGAAAAATCAGATCTTGACTTTTGCTGACAGTACAAGAAGCTATTTTAAATTGGGTTCATTGTTTGGAAAAATTGAAGTTTTAAACAGCAGATCAAATATTATTTTGGGTGAAAAGCAATTTTTATTTAAAAATACGTGGAGGAAACCAATTCAAGCACCTCTAATTGAAACTTGACTTGTTTCTTTTATTGCAGTGACACCTATACCATATAAGATAGTGTAGAAATACAAAATGTAGATACGTCTATTAGAGTAATGCCCTGACACCAGTGCTTGTAAAAGTCAAGGCAGAGATGAGAGAAAAAGAGCTGTTGATTTATTCATCCTTCTTTTTGTTTCTTCTTTGTTCATCATGAGAAGGAATCTGCCAAATGGAAAAAGGAAGATCTCTTTGAGAGCAAAATAGAGTTTTCAAGCGTTCTCCACGCACGTACTGCGAATAGGAAGTATACATCGAGCTAGGGAAAAAAACAGGAACCTGTCAGTTCCTCTTTCCCATGTTCTATTAGAATCTGTTCATACAATAACAGCACCTTTTTTACCTAAGCGTTCCTCTTGAGCTTTTGGAGCACCGCTACCATCAGCTGCTCTAACAACAGCACGAGGTGTGAAGGGTCCATCTCTTTTCACAGTGGCTCTGCAGATAGCAGTGCTGCCCATTTGTAGGACACAAGAGGCTGTGCAACGCTTTAAGGTAGGTCAGGAAAGTGAAATAGTTGGGGGCAGTAGGACCTGGCTGCAATTACTTGAATGAATGAGAATTCCATACTGAATATTGCTCTTGGCTGGAAAATGTAACAGTGCCCAAAGCAGCCGTGCAGGCAGGATGTGGTAAGGATTTACCGTGCGTTTGTCTTTGGAGAACTGTGTTGCTCAAAGCCTTGGGTTTCTTTGAAACAAGATTTATTTCTCCTCTATATGTGGTGCTGGTTTGGTAAGTACTGGTTTTGGATCTCACAATCATGCAGTGGATTCTTGGAATTAGTCAGGACTTAGTTTTTTGTTGTTGATGGTGGTGGTGTTTTGTTTGTTGTTTTTTTTTTTTTCCCTTTGCAGAATCATTGGATGGCTTGGGTTGGAAAGGACATCACAGAGCATCTAGATCCAACCCCCCAGCCATGGGCAGCACTGCTAACATCAGGCACTACATCAGGCTGCCCAGGGCCCCATCCAACCTGGCCTTGAATGCCTTCAGGGATGGGACATCCACAGCTTCTCTGGGTAGCCTGTGCCAGTGCCTCACCATTCTCTCAGTGAAAAATTTTCTCCAGACATCTAACGTAAATCTCCTCCTCTAGTTTAAAACTGTCCTCCCCTTACGTGATAGTGAAAGTGTCCTATGACTATCTATCCATGATTTTTTCCTCAATATTTCTTTCCCTGCTGATTAAATTAGTATGTAACTGCTTGTTTTGTCATTTGTCCTACACCCTAGAATAAGCAACACCAAGACAAGAAAAAGACAAAACAATGTTAACGACATTAACATCTTAAAATTAAGTGGGAATTGTCCAGTCTGCAATGCCACCATGTGTGGCAGAGAGAGAACCCTATTTATTTACATATGCCAGCAATCTATTCAGGGCCTGCGAACACTGGGAGTGGGCAGCTGTGAGAAAAACAGAAATAAGTGACAGTAGACTTTGAAATGGAAATCACAGCAAAGCACCATATGTGTGACTAAGTAGTACTGCTGACGCCCTCGATTCAGTGCTCTGATGAGAGAATTTATTGGGTAACTTTGAATTCAACACAAAACACTGTGCCACACAGCAGAAATCTTTGGGGACTCTGCCCCTTTGACCTGTACAAAGCACATGGGACAACACCGTGCTTGTGGGAAAAATCTTAGTCTTAAATGCTGCTGCAAGACCAGGCAAGAGGGAAGTATTTGCCTTTCTCACTGAGTACCTCATTAATAAATGTACATTATTAAACACAGAGTAGTAACAGTGGACAAGGAGAAGGCTGAGGTATTCAACAAAATTTTTGCCTCAGTCTTCACTAGTGACTGCTCTACACACAGCCTTCAAGTAGATGGTTCAAGAAGGTGGGAACTGGAGGAGTGACGCACAGAGAGATCTGGACAGGCTTGAACAGTGAGCCCAGGAGAACCCATGAGGGTCGATGAATCCAAGTCTGCATCTGAATCGTAGCAATTTCCCCTATTAACCCATAAGCTGGGGGAGGTAAGGATAGAGCCTGGGCAGCCCTGCCAGAAAGGACCTGTGGGTGTCTTGCACCAGTTATTGCAGGCAGAGATTTGTGATATGTATATATATACACCTAGTGAGATTAAGACTTTAAAGGAGGCAAATGCTGCCCAACCAGCTTACTGCAGATCCTAGCTAGTAAGACTTGGGGAAGGAGAATAGAGAAGAAAGCGACAGAAGAAGGACAGGAAATAAAAGCAAGAGTTCATTATAGAAAGCAGAAATAGTCCTGCAGTGGATTCACAGCATTCCATGAGCCCGTAGTCTTCAGGTCTATGGTGAGAGTATACAGGAGTTCCTTTGTTTTAGGAGTCCTTTCTAATAGTCTTTTTCTTTTCCTTTTTTTTTTCTTTTTTTCTTTTTTTTTTTTTTTCATAGTTTGCTATGATAATGGCACATATGGCACTTCTCTACAGGCTTTTCTACTTTTGGGTAGCTAGACCCCTCTGAGCCCATCCCCCAAGAGTGATCCGGCTGCACAAAATCCATTCTTCCAGTTGCTTATCTGTAGGACATTCTTTGTTGCCCCTGGCAACCATGTGTAGGCAGAGGTGAGGCCCGTCCAACAGGGGCTGACTGCAAGCACTCAGGCAAGCTTTGAGACTAAAAGTATAATCTTTCACAGAGGGTAACAGAAGATGGTGACCTGAACATGAGCAGGCAATGTGCCCTCAGCCCAGAAAACCAGCCATGTTCTGGGCTGCATCAAAAGAAGTGTGGCCAGCAGGGCAAGGGAGGTGATCCTGTCTCTCTGCTCTGCACTGGTGAATAGGTTGCCCTGAGAGGTGGTGGATGCCCCATCCCTGGAGACACTCAAGATCTGGCTGGACAAGGCTTTGAGCACCCTGATCTAGCTGTTGGTGTCCCTGTTTACTGCAGGGGAGTTGGACTAGATGGACTTTAATGGCCCTTTCAACTCAAAGGATTCTATGGTTCTATGATTCTATGTCATCCCCTGGGAATGCAGCTTCCTACTCACTAAGTTAGGGAGCACCTACTTGTCAGGCTGGTGCACTGTGATATTTACTTTTGCTTCCTAACACTTCAAAACAAATGTGAGAACAGAATATATATTCCCTTCACAAGGCAGGATGATGGCTGCTTTATTGCAAAGTTTGGTTATTTATTTTCCTGCCGTGACACTGGTTGTGATCAGTGTTTTGCTTTGAGTTTTTTTCTCAGGCTCTTCAAAGGCCATGGAGTCAAAGTCTGCTCAATGGAGGAACTCCTGCCAAGCTGCAGATATGGCAGTAACACCACTGTGCCATTTGTACGTAGCCATGGACAAGACAGGGCTCATGTTATAGGGGACCTGGGGTGAATTTCCTAAAATTTTCAAATGAAGATGGCTCCATTTACACCTGAAAATACAAGCCTGGATGTTAAAAGTTATCCCTTATAGCCTCATCTGTCAAACTGCCTCACATTTATCAGGACAAAGTCTCGAAAATTCAGTGGTTCTGGCTCCACTACAGGTGCTGGCCTCTTTCCAGCATGATGGCTCCAGGCACCAGCTCCAAGGCATCTACAGCAGTCCCAGACACAGCTGCAGCCGTGTCCATTCTTGGGTTGCACCAGAGGAGGCTCACCATTTGTCAAAGTGACACATATCATGTGAGGGTTGCACTGAAGCCCACCAGATGAATGTGTTTGGAGGTGATGATGAGAAAGATGATGTAACGGAGCAACCCATGAGATCATACAATAATGGAATCATAGAGTGGCTTGAGTTGGAAGGGACTCCATGGATCATCATGTTCCAACCTCCCTGCCATAGGCAGGGCAACCAATCTCCAAACC